CCCCACGGCTCTACACAACTCGCATGAACGATCGCGGACCCCCTGCCCCTACCGCGTGCCCCCCGCCCCATGCTGGCATCTCCGTTGTGTTGGCAACACCCACGCAGTTTCCGACCGGGAGATCGTGGCGACCGGAGCGTCGTGTTCGGAGATGCTGGAGCAGGTGCTGCAAGCGGCGGAGTCGCGCGCCGAGGTGGGTATGTATTCGGATGCTTGCAATTCTGTGGTGCCGCCTTTGTCAGTTTTTTTGCTCATTTTCTGTCCGTCTCTGTTATTTCTCATACTCCGCCGCCCCCTCTTGAGTCTAGCCTTATTTCCGTGGCTTTTTTTTAGCATTAAAAATGTACTTCACACTCACAGAAAACTACCGTTCGGGATGTGGTGCATGTAGTCTTAGTCGTGAGTGGGAGAAAAACCAAACCGGCTGCTATTATTATTTTTTTTCTGTCGGCATGGATGGCGTTTCCGAAAAGGTGCGGGACTCGGACATCACGGCGGAGGTGGTTGAGCAGCTCAAGCAGACGGGGCCCAAGATTTCCGGCATCATAGAGGCCAACGGAGAGGGCGATGCTGCGATGCTCGAGGCCCTCTTCAAGGTTACTTATTGCGTGTTTGTGTTGCTGTTTCTTAAGCTAACTCGTAGCTTTGTCGGATGGACAGATTTTTTTTTCGCTTTCTCAAAGAGGGGGCCGAAAAGGAAAAAAATTGAAGAGTACGTTTGATTCCCGAGTTGATTCGATCTGTTGTCCACGACTCTGTTCATTGGGAGGTGGTTTCGGCCAGCAGCAGGACCTGAACCGTGCGGTGTTTAATCGGCGGCTACAAAGTTGCATCGCACAGAGAATTCGGTGATACCACCTCCTCCCCCGTACTACCGTAAGGGCTGAAGCTCGGACGATGTAGGCAATCTTGTTTGCTAGGAGACGGGCGAGGGGCGGATCGACAGCATAACGATGAGAGCACACTAGTGGTTCCTCTCCCCCCCCCNCTTTTGGCACAGTAAGAAGGAACGATTGGCCATCGGTGATTGGCCCTGTGGGAACAGTCCTCCGTCCTATCGAAGACGCGTGGTCAACGGTCTAGGCATGCAAAACATGAGCACCCCCCCCCC